CAAATAAGGGTTGATACAATGAAGGGATGGAAGATGACTGTAAAGATGAAAATTATAAAAGATTTTATAAAAGGAATTGATAAGTTGTTTGAAAAAAGAAAGAAGAAGATTTAAAAAAAAAAAGGAAAAAAAAAGGAAAAAAAAAGGGAGAGAATGTGCTCAGGCAGGAGACTAGAACAAAGCCATACACTAGTGATTTAGAATATATTTTGATTGGTTAGAAGAAACTGTATCTCAAAATTTTAAAGAGAGAACAGCTTATATATATATATATGCCAAAAATAAGGGTAACTACTATGAAGGGATAGAATATGACCTAAAAATGAAAAATAAAAATGTTTTTTTAAAAAAGGGATTGATAAGATGTTGTTTGAAAAAGGGGAAAAGAAAAATTATAAAAAAAAACAGTTAAAAAATTAACTTTGAAAAAGTAATGAATCATGGTAAAAAAGCCATGAATTTTATGTGCAGTATTCCCCTAGTGCTGGAGTTCTCCCATTCTCCTTGATTGGTAAACTTGGTCTTGGCTGGCTGTTCTTGCTGATCTTCTGGGGGATGGGCCTGTGCCGTGGTTCCCAAACATCTTTGCCGGAGGCGGAATTGCCCCGCCCTTGTCGGTCTGGGCTAAGCAATCTGCTCAGGTTTGCATTCGGGAGCTTTTGTTCCCTGCAAGCTCTCGGTACAGCTTTGGAGGACGAGAGTGAAAATGGTGGCCTCCCAATCTCCGCCTGGAGGAGCCAAGAACTCGGGGACCCGCTCCTCAGTGCGCTCCCAGAGAAAAGCAGTCAGTCACTCCCGTCTCCCCGGTCTCCGGCCTCACTCCGTGCTCACCCGGCCTGTGACCGAGTGTTTCTATCTCTGGCACCTGACCCCGTGTGTAGTCTCCAAACCCAGCAGATCCCTGTGGTGCACTCCCACACCGCTCCTCCTGGGGGAGGAAGGGGAGTCTCCCCGGATCTGACGCTTGTTGGGTCCCTGCTGGAGGAGTAGTGGCCCGACTGGGCCGCGGATCACGGTTTATGGCAACCCCGAGCTGAGAGCCTGCACCTCGACTCCGTCTCTGCAGCCGGCTTCCCTGCTCCGATACCTGGGAGCTCTGCTGCACTCAGGCACCCCCGGTCTTTCTGTGCCACCGAGGGTCCTGAGACGACACTGTCCCGCGAGGGTTCCACCCCAGCTTAGCCACTGGAGCGACGTCCCTCAGCGGAGCCGACTTCTAAAAGTTCCAATTTTGTGCTTTGCGGCTCTATCACTTGCCAGAAGCGGCCGACGGAGGCCCCCTCCCCCCCCATCTATCCTCCCGAATATCACCTCGGATTCACTTCTCCGCACATCCTACCCTCCAGTAAGTGGTCATTTTTCTGTTCAGAGAGTTGTTGCTATTCTTTCCTTCGATCTCCTGTTGAGTTCGTAGGTGTTCAGAATGTTTTGATCCCTATTCAGCTGAATTCCTGAGACCAGACGAAATCCAGGTCTCCTACTCCTCCGCCACCTTGCCCCGTTTCCAAAATACTTTATTTCTAATGTACACCAGTAAAATAAATTACTGGCAAAAACAATTACTGATTATAAAAATCTTCCAATGAAACACCTTTCTAAAAGTTTTCACTGAAGAAAAATTTAAGAATTGGAAAAAAACCTTTGATTACTGACTTGATAGTCTGAGAAACTTTTAATCTCAGTAAAATTTAAAGGAATTTCTTATACTATTTTCATTCCCTAATGTAGTGAATAAAATACAAAATAAATTGTGTTTGAATCAACACTGGTCATTGACATATTAACTTTTATTTCCTATTCAATATAACCAGGATAATAGCAAATCAAAATATAGTCAGTTAATTTTCATGTGTGACATTTAACATGATGTCAACTCAGATAGCTTAAGTTATTGGGAAAATATCATAAAGGCTTACCCCATTTTTTGGAAAAGCAATCCATCCCAAGTCCCCCATGACAGTACGTGAATCCAATAAATTCACTGAAAGAAAAAGAATACAAAACTGAGTCAAATGTATAAAAAAGTATCACCATTTTCATAGTGTTATTAAAGTACATATTTCTTACATAACTGAAGTTAAATTAAGTATTCATCATGAATATGAGAGTTGTCATTTAATGAAAACATTATTTGGATGCACAAGAACAAGTGATTTTGAATAAACATTTGGAGAACAATTACAGCAAAAATACATAAACAAGTCATTACTCTAAGTGCTCTTTCTTGTCAAACAAGAATAAAGGAAAAGAATTAGTAAAAAGAAAAAGAAATGAAAGTCCACAGAAAACCGTAAGGACTATGCCACTCCTTTAAAGGCTCTCAATTTGGGGATTAAGTGGCCATAAATTTGTGACTACACATATTGTATTTTCTTCTGAAAAGCTATTATGAAGCAATTAACAAATAACTTACATTAAACAGAAATAAGCTATCTCCAAGTTTGTAAGATTTTTTTGTGATATTAACTGAAATCTGTAATCCAAATTGCAAGTTAAATTAAGAAATAAATCTACGCACCCATAACTAAGCCAAGAAAATTACAGCAGCTCTCAGGGTTGTTGCTAGAGTTAAGTGTCCACTGCATTCCCAAAAATATATTCTACTTACAAATAACCACAGTCTACAATGTGCTTCTTATAGAACTATCAGCTACATTTTTGAAATGCAGATCTCAATTATGGCTGGATATACATAAATATTTGGAACTCTCAGAATGGAAGTCTGAATATCATTATTACAAAAGGAAGCCATGAAAGGATGTGTACACACACATGCACCCACAGTCATACACACACACAGTGTTTATACTTCAACAAGTTTATCTACTGTTCTTCCCCCTGCCCAAATTAAACTAGCTTACAGGATGCTGAGCAGTCAAACTGCTTCAGACCTGGGTCATAGATGATCATCTTTCCAGCCTATTATGCCTATCCCAAGTGATCTACCTGGCCCACCAGGCAGCTGAAACAGTTTGAAAGGGAAACAACTGGGTTATCCCTAGTCAGAGGTACTGAAGCTTCCTTATAACTACATTCAAGAAACACTACCTTGAAATGTTACCAATTCTAAAAAAGAAAAAAAAGATTCTATCTGTAAATGTGAAGCTAGAGTACTAAAGTAGTAATAGCTGATAGACTGAGAATGTGTTACAATACTCCTATAAGAAAATATAAGATGAAATTATTACAAACAAGGACATTAGGATCAAAATTGAAATAAAAATTTTCTATATACTATAGAAATTATGTGCATTTCAGCCTTATTATCCATTTTTATTTCACATAACATATGCACTTATAGATCTTATACACTAAGTTAACAGTCTATAATAATACTAGTTATATAAAGATAAACCAAAGTTTTAAAGTTTTAGAAAACACAGAAATATACTCAATACCACGTATATATATATGTATATATACATATATACATATATGGCAGTCTTCTATGATGTGTGTGTATTCAATATACTTTTTACTTCTCTCATTAGGTTCTGAGCTCTTTAACTCTAAAAATCGATGCCTATAGAATGTTTGCATCACCTTTAGCCTATACATATCAGAGTGGCTTTACAGAATAATAAAATAAATAATTTGTTGGATTATTCCTTTTTAGTAGAAATTGGCCTAGCTGAAAAACTATCGTTGAAAACAGCAAAAACAAATGAAAACTGTTCCACTACCCACTGATCTTGCAAATCCACCAGTCATCCCACTAAATCTAATTTTTTAGTTAGATCCATACTCTTTTTACTCTCTTGTTGGCTTTTCTAGTTTCCATGGGAATAAAGCTACGTTAAACTTAAATGCCCTTGTCCTCGTTTTAGTTTTTCTGGGACACTAGGGCTATGTCTAGACATGACTAAATACCATGGGAGTGCAGAACTTAAATTGTTATGTTTATTCATCCTTTTGATTCATTTGATTCACCTTTGATATTGAGTAGCAGCATATCTGTGTAGGCCTGATAAAGTAGAGCAAATCAGCAAGCTAAAGGCCTTCTACTATGATGGCAGTCAAGTTGAACTTAATCCTATATTGGCAAACTGATGTGAATAGGAATTCTAGGAATTCATAACTAGCCTGTCATGAGAAACACAACATTCCTTGTAGACCTCTTAGTAACATGTGGATCTTCAAATATTTATTATTACCAACAGAATTCCAGATGTCTTTCTAAAATTTAGTTACCCTCACTTGAATTAACTTTAATCTAAATTACTATTCTTAACTCTTTTTTGCTTAAAATATATATGTGTATGTGAAATTAAATGAATGAATTCAAAATACTAGCTTGGCTGTTAATACATTTTGGGAATTTTCAACATTGGCATACATTTCTAAAGACTGTATTTATTTATTTGACAGAAAGAGACACAGTGACAGAGGGAATACAAGCAGGGGGAGTGGGAGAGGGAGAAGCAGGCTCTCCGCAGTGCAGGGAGCCCGATGCGGGGCTTGATCCCAGGACCCTGGGATCATGACCTGAGCCGAAGGCAGACGCTTAACGACTGAGCCACCCAGGTGCCCAGGCATACATTTCTAAACACATGAAAATACCCACAACAAAATGTACATTATCTTTCTTATGATGATCTTGTCAAAAGTTTTTCTTCAAAGAAATAGATTAGGAGGTTTATAAGATACACACATATGTCACTTCCTACTGCTGTCTAAAATTGTTTTTGTTTTGGAAACAGATGTTTTCATAAAATTCACAATGCAAAGAAGATACTTATACATATGATTACTAAATTAGAAATTGAAAAAAAGAGTAAAATTAGATGTTTCGGGCAATTACTTGCAGATTATTATAATTTTGTTCATATAATTCAGAGGAAATTGGAATTTGATGCCTCGGGAAAAATAATTAAAATTATAGTTAGATAGGTAGATAGAGATAGAAACAGATATATATAGATACAAATGTATAGATACAGGGATACAGAGAGTGTTAGCTTTCTTAAACCTCCAAGTTTTGCACATGCTGCTTTAGCTGTCTCAAATATCCTTCCACCCCCTTTTGAATTGCTAACTTCATTTGTCCAACAAAACTTCATTTGTCCACATTTCAGGAACTGTTACCTCTAGGAAGCCATCTCTATTCCTCTTTATTACTGAATATCATATTAGCACCCAATTATTATTTCCAAAACACTGAATACACAGAATTGTATTGTCCCCTTAAAAGAATACCATGTTTGACTCATGCCTATGAACCTAGCCTGCACTCAGAAGAGCTGAATAGCTGTTTGTCTTATTAATGAATCATTTGGTCAGTGGGCAGATCAAGAGGGTGTGTCTGAATCAACATACACCAGTGGTTCTCAACATGGGCATCTGATAACGTCTGGAGACATTTCTGATTGTAAAAAATGGAGGGTGGGAGGAGTATTGGTTACTGGCTTCTCACGGGAAGAAACCAGGTATTCAGCTAAACATTTCTCAATGCACAGCAAAACTTTCCCCACCCCCAGTAAAGAATTATCTGGCTTAAATTTCATTAATGCCAAACTTAAGAAACCCTGGTATACACCTATGATGCTACCAGAAAATCTTTACTTTCACGTTCTTTGTGCAGCACAGCAGTAGCATGATTTTCATTAATAGAAGTTAGCATATTTGGAGGCATTCCTTATAAATTAAAATACTACTATTTAAGGAAGTAAGAGTAATAAAAAATGAAATTGTATTTAGGGGGAAATAGATTAATCTTATTACCCAACACCCTTAAATTATTTTTCATATAACTAATGTAACTGTTATTATAAGTGTTCTTATTTATGCTCTAATAATTTCTCAACATTCATGATGGCGTGCATGAAAAAACACTACAACACTGATATTATTAATGCCTCCATTTCCTCCACTACTTAAGCTAGTAACATAAAAAACAGAAGTTTAGACATAGGGTATATATAAATGGGAATTTTCAGAAGTTCATTACCCAATTTCATTACCGAATTTATTAGAAGGGGAGATTGGCAGTAATGGAGCACAGTCACTAAGTATCTTCTATGCAACAATTACAGTAATTAAATTGTTCTGAACAGTATATATGCTTGTTGTAAACTGCAATGAATACACAATGAGTATTGATCTTCATTGTACAACTTAATTAAAACTTGTCTGGGAGAAGCCACTAATGAATATAATTAGAGGGAATGTTTGATATCACAGTTACTCTGGAAGACATTAATTAGATATCAGAAATTTTATGGAAAATGTTTTATTCTATTATTTGTATTTTAAAATAAAGTCACACTATTAAGCTGAAAGACAGTCTTCAAGGTCATTTCCCTCAACCATTTTATAATTACAATGAAGATGGGCATATTGGTTGGTATTCTCATCAGTAATTAAGAAGACTGATTCTCCACGAGAAATAACTCTTCAGGGGTCAATGAGTATATAGTCCATTACAAATTCCTAAAGTTAATATAGGAAAAAAAAGATTTACTAATACAAGAACTTTTTAATAAGTAAAAAGTTAACCATCTATCCAACCAAATAACAGATTATAATTGAAACTAATTCAAACTAATCTGAAGTATACTTTAATTTTATTACTACACACTAATAATTTTAATGTTTTCTTGAACAGAGAAAGGCTTTTAAAGAATTTACTTTCAGAAAAGTCAGACAGTTGCTAACTCATTCTTTTGGTTGGGATTCAAGGGCGGGGAAAGGAAAGGATAGAATGAGTAAAATGTAATATGCATAAGAAGATGGTTAAGTTCTCAACTTCACACATTCTAACAATTAAAGATTAATTTCAGTTAATAATTCAAATATGCTCTCCAATGATTATAACTTTCAAATATTCATAACTTTCCATGTATCATTTTGACTCCATATCTTCCTCCTTAACATCTTGCTGATATTAGTCATAAAAAGCAGAAACAAATTTATTAGATTCTCCAGGAAAATGATACATTGGGATGAAGGTGTTTTGAAACTTTAAAAAGTTAAATGACAGCT